ATCCCTCGCTGGGCACGACGACCTGATGCGCGCATCGACACAGCAGCTGTGCTGGTTCTATCCGACCGACGATGCGAGTCTCATCAAACCCAAGTCCGCGCAATTATGACCAGTCACTGGGCCGGTTTGCAAGTGGTAGACTTAAAACCATCTGTCCCAATCTCACGGAAAAGCTTGAAGCCCGGACTACACAGACACGTGTATGGATTGCCGCATACGTCGAGTCGGCAAAGAGCCTTCTTATCACCATTACTTTGACACATTTCATAGTACTCGCCGCCTCGAGAGCACTTGTCGACGGGAGTAGGAGGGGGAGGCGGTGTCGAAGGGGGAGGAGGAGGCGGAGGAGGAGGCGGAGGAGGCGGAGGCGGCGGCGGGGGAGTAGTCGACGGAGGAGGAGGAGGAGGAGGCGGAGGAGGAGGAGGAGGAGGAGGCGGAGGAACAACAGGTGGCTCTGGCTTGGGGTTAGGACTATACTCTCCCGGGTAACAGGAATAACCTACGAACGTGAAGCCATTTGAGCAGTTGCAGACGAAAGGGAAATCCAGAACCTGCGGTTGGCTGCAACATTTCGACTGGCTGTCGCCGAAATACGCGCACGGGTTGGCCTCCTGGCATATTGTCTCCCTGCTACTGAATGTGTACGTCTTGTTCTCCAGTTGATTCAGCTCCTTTTCGATGATGCGAAGACTTCCGAAATGGTTGTAGTGAGCAGCGCAAGTATAGCCGACAACATCCGGTTTGATGAAGAACTGCTCCAGTTCATACCCTTGCGGTTGAATGTCGGAACCCGTTCCTTTGCCCGACAGCTTCCCCGTCGAAGACCCCGTGGCCTTAATGGAATGCGGCTCTTCCACCATGACAAACTTGACCAAGTAGATGGGCGGAATAGCCCAGAGGCGCAGCGTGACCTTCGGCTTCTGCGGTTGCTGCCAGTACTCGAAGCTCACACGGTCGTAAAACTCCATGCAAGTGTCCGCCTTCTTCTGCCCCTTGGTCGATCCAGCGGCGAACAGGCAATTCCCCCCCACCTCCAGGTTCGTCACCTTGGTGCCCTTCGGCACCGAGCCATTCAAGAAGTTGTCTCGCAGGATAGCCCGCTCAAGCGACGGCAGATTGAAGAAAGGAGAAATGCTCCCCTGCAGCGCGTTGTTCCGGAAGTCTATGGACTTTACTTTGCTTAGTTTCGTGAAGCTTTTCGGAATCGAACCCGTGATGTTGTTCGCGCTCAATGCTATCTCCACCAGCTGCTCCAGAGCTCCGATTTCCCCGGGAAGATTTCCCGCCAAACTGTTTGCGCTCAGGTCGATGCTCAGAAGCCCGGTCAGATTCCCGATAGTCTTCGGCAGAGCGCGCGGCAGCTTGTCTCCGATGAATTGATCGCTGTATATCTCCGCCAGAAGCGCCTCGTCCATCACGTTGCGGAAACGGTTGTTCTGCAGAAGAAGCTGCGCGACGCTGGATAAGCGGCCGATGGACTCGGGCAGCATGTTCTCGAGCTTATTGTTTGCGAGAATCATCAAAGATGCTCGGTCGAGTCCTGCGACGGAATCAGAAAGCGGCCCGTCGAAATCGTTGTCATTCACGATCAGCACGTCCAAGGGCAACTGGTACACCCAATCCGGAATACGCCCGCTGAACTTGTTGAATCGCAGATCCAGGTACACAAGCCCATCCAGCCCTCGGATGTCCGGGAAAGGCCCTTGGAACTCGTTGTCGGCGATATCAAGCTCCGCCAGCAGCTTCAAGTTGTTAATCTCTGGCGGCAGAGTTCCGCGGAAATGGTTTCCGGGGAGATGAAGAAATCCAAGACTCGTTAGCTTACCAATGCTAGGGGAGAGTCCGCACGTTTGCAGCGCCCAATCCTGCAGCGACAGCCCGACGACATCCCCGTCAGATAGACAGGAAACACCCCGATACTTGCACGGAATATCCCCCTCCCAATTGTCCATCAGCCTGTACGGGTCACAAGTGACATTGGCCTTGATGCCGCGAAGCGCCGCCGCCAGCGTCTCGTTCACGACACCGAACGGTCCCCGGTCACACGCCGGCGTTGCTGACGTGGCAGCGCATACAAAAGGATACTTCGTCGTGCACTGAGTCGGGACGAGACGTCCTCCGTCCCCATCATATATCGCGCAATCCCCTCTAGTGCTATTGATAACATCGGCATCGCTCTCACTACCCCACACATCCACCGGAAAGCCGACACAGCCTTCCGCCCAGGTCCAATCAGTCACGACGAACTCCACGATCGATTCCCCGATGGCGCATCCGGACTCGTTGGAATACCTGGTGCACCTCCTAAATTTCGCGCCCACTAGGCACTGCCTCCCGTACGCCGCGCGGCACAGCTGCCCTAGGTCGTCGAGAGTCGCGTTATCGAACACCGTCGCAAGATGAACACCTTCCCCCTGCTCTGCGCACGACCTCTCCGCCTCGTCATAACTTAATCTCCCCTTACCAAGGGACAAACACAATCCCGACTTCTCTCCTTTGCTAAATCCCTGCGGACAGGAGGAATAACCTGACGACCGCACCTCGGCACATAGTAAGGCGAGCGCAAGCAACCATACTAATCTCTTCAACCCCATTTTCGCTCTCTCTCTCTCCCCTTTTCTACCACTGAAACAGCCCATCCCGGCCGACTTTCTTCTTGTCCTCTTCCTCCCTCCTTGTCCAAACTTCCTCCTTCACTCCTCGCTGTGTTGACGCTTTCCCTTCCTTTCCTGTCACTTCGCGCTTTCCCCTCTACCGTTCCGGTCCTTAATTATTCCAGTCATTCGAGCGCTTCGACACATGCACACCGCTGTCGTCGTCGAAGAGTGTGATCACTCCTCTGTCTCTCTTCTCACGCTGTCTTCTCTTAGACACGTCAAACAGATCAAAGATTTTGCGACTCTCTCTTCCTCTCTCTCTCTCTCTCTCTCTCTCTCTCTCTCTCTCTCTCTCTCTCTCTCTCTCTCTCTCTCTCTCTCTCTCNCTCTCTCTCTCTCTCTCTCTCTCTCTCTCTCTCTCTCTCTCTCTCTCTCTCTCTCTCTCTCTCTCTCTCTCTCTCTCTCTCTCTCTCTGTGGCGCAAATCTATGCAAGCATCATCTCCAGGTTGGCTGGCCCATAAACCACTCGCCGACGAGCTGTCAGTCTCTCCACAACAAGGGAAGAAGATAGAAACGCCGGATAAGAGAGAGAATGAAGACGGGGCAGAGCGGCGCGACTTCTTTCTGCTTCGTCTTCTTCCTGCCACTCCCGCTTCTTCTCCCTGTCGTCCGGTCCACCCTCTTTCCAGGACACAAGCACTCAGCTGAAGCACCTACGATGCGATGTACGCCAAACGCTGGTGCCTGGTGCACGGCTGCCTTTCAATCTCCAGTCCTTTCGTTCCCTTCACCTGCTCGACTTCATTTTTCCCTTCTGCTCCCACTTCTCTCTCTAACTTCTCTCACCCTCACCCTTTCCCTCTCTCTACCCCTCGCTCGTTTGCCCGCTAGCACCCTCGCTCTCTACAACGCCAGGCACAGAGAACTGCGCCGCTTGCACGCCTCCTCCTCCATCCTCGATTTGCTCGCACCTCCGCAACTCGTCCTGCACCTACAGCGATAGGCCTTTACCTATTTCCCCCTTTTTCCCCCGTCACTTCCAGCGCCCGCCTTGGCGGCAGCCACCGCGGACTCCCCGCCTTCTCCGACATTTCCTGCCCATATTCCATCCCATAGCCCGTCCCTCGCTCGTCCAGTTTCTCCCTACTTCCCCTCCTCGCTCTTTCTCCGCGGTGTTTATCAGACGTACGTGTGCGATCCCACGGCTTGCTTCCACAGCAACAGACCAAACACCTGTCCCCACGAAAACGCGCGACTCGACATTCCGCTGCTGCGCGTTGTTGCGTTGTATTCACACGCTGCCAGCATTCAGTAAAGATTCACCACACCTGTTTTCCCCTCTAACCGGCCCTGTGATCGACCCATGGCAGGGCGCTCCTTTCCATCCCTCCTTGCACTCACAAATCCCGGGCCGTGCCGGCGGACCGAGGCAAGCACCGAGCCACATGGAGCGCCGCGCCTCCTACCGTAGTCCACCGATTATTGCGGCATTTACCTGTCTGCTCGCCGAGTATCAACCTTTCGCTGGGGTCTGCCTGCCAAGGGACGGCCCGGCCTTTCTACTACCGCCAGCAGAACACAGATACCGACGGAGAGCGGCATGACTCGAACTGTTTTTTCCCTCTGCTTTTTTTCCCAAAAAAAGAAAAGAAAACGGAGAAGTTTTTTCCCCCATCATCCCGCCGCACGTCCCCCGCTTGCCCTCACCTCCCGCCCCTGCAATACGAATCTTTCGTAGATTTGCCAGTCCGTTCGCGGTCAAAGAACCCGAGGTACGCGGCAGCACACTGTGCCGTTTCGTCGCGGACAATTCTCCACTGGTGCTGCCATGGTCAAAGCCACTGCTGTGCTGCGATCTAGTCCACCCTGTTCACGCAAAGCGTCGAGCCACTGCCGGTTGTAATCACCGGGAAGATGCAAGGGCAAGAACCTCCCCTTTCCCCGCAGAAACCTCGACTTCCGGCGCGCAAGGTCCTTTTCTTTTGCGCGGGGGCAACCGGAGGGAAGTGAGGTCTAAAGGGGTTGAGGGCCCTATCCGCTCATGAGACTTCCACCCACCTTACTCCTTCAGTCTACCTCAGTCCGCACCACTGAGGACCATGACTCCTCTACCATGTCTACAGAGTGAGACGGCAGTTGTAGTAACCAGAGCTAAGCCAGACCCCTGCCATAGTCTGATGAGCCTTATCCTGCTAAGTGTATATGTTCTTTTTTTTTTTCCTATTGACTTACCGTCGGGGCACAGGTGCGCAGCCCGTAGTTTGTAGTGTGTGAGTGATGAACAAGGTTTCATCATCGTCCAGGTTCAAAAGCAGGAGAGAGAGAGAGAAAGAGAAAGAGAGAGAGAGAGCACTACCAGCAGGGACCAGCACGTGTTGATGTGCTAGCGAGTGTGTGTGTGTGGGGTGTGTGTGTGTGTGTGTGTGTGTGTGTGTGTGTGTGTGTGTGGGTGTGTGGGTGTGTCTGTGAGAGAGAGAGAGAGAGGGAGAAAGCTGCCAGCAGGGACCAGCACCCGATGGCACACATGCCTGTTGCAATCAAAAGTGTCGTTTCAACCTGGGCCCAGCAGGCCATTTCAAAATTTCCCAACCACGGGTACTTGGCCTTTCTATTCCACCTGGGCCTTGTGCAACCCCCCCCCCCCCCTAACCAAAATCGCCCCAGCACCGACTTTGATGGGCTGCCGACTTTCTCGATCACAGGTACTTGCCCTTTCCATTCCACATGGGCCCACTAAACCACGTTGCCCGTAGTTTGTATGTGCCTCACTGATGAGGGATCACTAGCCATGTTAAAAAGTATGACATTCATGGGCCCAGTGCCCCATAAACCAAAATTGCTCCTAAATGTTGAACGAACGTTGAAAGGTTCCAGGTGTATAAAACGCAACCCTGACAAGTTGCAAACAAGTCCCATGGGTAGATCCCACTTGTCCCCCCAAGTTACCCAACCTATAGATTTCTTGTTTACACCTTTTGTGGACCACTTTGAAGGGAGGACCGATCCTTCGATTTTATAACCACGCTGGTTCTCCGCGCAATAGTTGTAGGTTGCCTATAAAAATTGGATGGACGGGTCCTTCGACAAATTATTCCCCCTCCACGTTCCTCTATAAGTAAGCCGCCCGCTGTCCAAAAATGTGTCACCTTAACACGGACGCCCAAGTCTGCTATTTCGCATCCTTAGGGTTATGAATCTTCTCATGCTCTCTTCAAGGACATCCACCCCCCCCCATAATGATGCTTTTGTAGAGAAAACTTCCCGAAGGGTGGACTAAGCAGAGTTCCCGAAGGCATCCCCTTAATATATCCTTGCTCCCCTGGAACAATCATCGCCTTCAAGGTGATACCATGTAAAGCAGCACTCACCAAGTGGCCTACCATAGCTACCCTCTTTCCCAATTCCTCAGAGACGTGTGATGTTATAGCAAACATCCTTACAAGGTTTTGTCTATAACATTGAAAAGAGGCGTTGACGTGCGCACTTTTCATGTGGTGCTCACCTAACCATTGGAGGCAAGGTCTCAACATAAAGAGGGATTTGAGTTAGTATGTGCATGCATTATTGCAACGTGCGGTGGGTGGTTACATTGCCTTTAACTACAGCATTCGACATACTACTCTATGTTTTCATACGATCGTGCGAGTATGCAACGATTTTCGCTCGTGAGGATTGTCGTGTGTTCTGCGCGACCGTGTATTATATTTTAAATTAGTCACCGTTGCAGCAAAGTGTCTGGATGTAATGTTTGGCTTAGCATTGCCCATAAAATCAAGGCGACTATGGTGTGGCGCCGTAGTTTTTGGGTTACAGAGCTAACCATACAATTTCACTTGCGTTACTACGAGGTATTACAAAACGCGCTTGTTGTCGGTGTACACCTTATTTAGCTGAGGCGTTGCGAGCGCTTTTTCAATATATATATATTTTTTTTCAAAAATCATTATAATTATCAAAATTATTATTCCATTTTAAAAATTATCACTCCACTTTTGAAATTTTTCGTATAGCTTAGAAACTTTCATTTCAAGACTAGGGTATCCCTTATAGTTTGAATTGTATAATTACGATAGAATGAAAGTTTTGATATATTCATAAAATATTTAAGTTGAACCATTATTCTATTTTTAAAAGTTTGAACAAAACAATAAGTTAATCTAACTTATAAAAGATTTGTTATGGCAAAAAAAACGTTTACTGAAGATGTTTCATAAACTCCTTCAAACTTTTATTTCATCTTTAATATTTAAACCTTAGTTTTCAAACCCGCATAGTCGCGGCAGCCTTGGGAAGATGAGCTAGTGCGACTAGGACCCTCATGTCCGGGTCACCCGGAAGAGTAAGAAAAAACTTTTTGTTTTTCCCCTAATGATGATGGGGTATTTTTGTGCCCTCCGAAAGAGACAAAAATCCGGTTTTATGTATATATTTTTTCATGTTAGTCATGGATAGGAATTCACGGACCTTTACAGAGTGTGAGATAACTTTTTT